AAGAAACTCATGACGTGTTACCAGCGTCACGTGACTTCCGCTGTCGTAACATTATGTTGCATTGTTTATTAACGTTTATATCAAGTCCTGGCCAGGCACACATTTACTAACTGTTTTGTGTGTGTAATAAAATTTGTATTCCAATTGTTTGAAAGTTTCGTTTTGGATTTCTAAATTATTTTTAGTTTGACCCTAGTTGTAGTGGTGTTTTGTTTTAGTCTATTATAATTGTTCAGTATTGCCATTCCTTTTCAAACACAGATTTTTACTCGATGTAGATGAAGTAAGCCAGTACTATGGGATTTGACATAAACGAAACCGTTACCTAAATAAACAAACTCTGGTTTCGTTTTTAACATCTGAATGTGAAGATTTACTGTGAACCTAATCCCCATCTCCAAAGAAGTAAATAAAATGTTAGGTTCTTGATCTTTCTTTACAAACACTCAAATTAAAAGCCTCATTACAGCTTCATTAGGGGAACACAATTACTTTGTTTCAACAAAGCTCAAGTATAACTGTATATGATTATTCAAATATGTTGAACACATTTTATGTATTATGACACTCAAATACAGAGAAAGTTCAGTTTCATTGTGAGTTAACAGTATTGACATCCTCAGATGGATTAGTCTATAAAATCTTTATTTTAAATGATGTTCTAAACAGACTGAAGTGAGAGTGAAATTATAAGAAAGATTAGTTATTTATTATATTTAAAATGATTATAAAAGTGATGCAATCTAATTTACGTTTTCAATAATTTCGTAGTTTGGAAGAAGGACAGAATGGCCAAAACAGAGGTTGGTGTAATCACAGTGACTAATATATATGTATAAGAAAAAATAAATAAATAACATACCTAAAAGTAAGTCTTCTTTTTCCGTGTTTTTTCACTCGTCCATGTAGTATAAAGTTCTGATTTTCAAGTTCTGCATACAATTCTAATTAAGCCTTGAGCCCCTAAGAGGCTAGGGCTGGTCCAATAGCCATATCACAGGACTGCTCCGACCCCTCCTCCACTCTGCACCTGGTTTGGAATAAGAAATTTAAACTGGTAAACAACTTGGCTTCATGAAGAGAGCAGCTGCCAATAACTCACCATCGATCAGCTTAAGCAAGCTTAGAACCTAAAAATTGGCATTTTATACCCGCCATTGGCACAGCATGGCTATTCTACTGAGTAACTTCCAGTTTAAAATAACCATGAACAGCAGATATTTATACCTATAAACAGTTCTTGTCGTATTGTGATCCAATGTGCTTTTAAATGTTACGTGAATAACTCTTGGATAATTGCTTTTCACTTTAAACACTGAAAGACGTGCCTTTCTTACATTGAAAACATTAAATACAGCTTTCTGTATTGCTAGTATCTCACTTTCCTATAATACATGTATTTCATTTTTATAAAATGTTTAACATTTTCTAAAGATCTAATTCAGTAAGCCCGTTAAAGGTTGTATGATAGTTCAACTCTAACTTAATGTTACTTTCTGTGATATATAAGTATATTATGTGTTTCTATCTTCTTATGTTAATATAGTATTATTCTGAATTTATAATTTATTCTATATATGTGCAGTTTTCACATAATACGTAGTCAAGACAGTCGATAACTTCATTTCATTCTAGCTGCCTTTGTTTCTCTGTCATTATTTAGAGACGATACCTGTTCTGCACATATGTGGAATGGCTGTTATGCTGAATTTCGTGCAAAAACGTCGACAGCAGTGTTCTTCACTGTAGAAAAGACGATGTTTGGAAATTAGGGCTTTACCTATATTTGAATGAGGATGGCCAGTCACGTGCATAGTGTTAGTAAATGCGACATTGCCTGCAAAATAGGGAATGGTTGGTTTAAACAGTATGAAACAGATTTTTTGTAAATCAAGCAGTCTGATAGAAGATATAATATATCCAATAAAAACGAAATCTGTCGTTTAATAAAACCAAGTACATACACTATGTTTGCATTGAGGCTGTTGTAATAAAGATAGTTTGTTTTGTATTTTTCTCTGTGTTCAATCTCGTTATTTCATTTTCATCAATACAAGGGTTCAGCACTAATTTAGTATAGATATCTTGTCAAACTCCCTGTTAAATGTACCTATCTCATTGATTTAAAATATTTCTGTTTCACCTGAATATATTGCAGTAGAAACCATTACTGTCTCATGGGATAATTGTATTGTGTCTTATTATTATTTTCAATAGGGTTTTTCCTGGGATAAATGTTTATTTTTTTGAGCTACATGGGAAATGAAGTGTTTACATCATTGATCTACATCTCTGTGTGAATGCGGCTAGAAAACCTGTCTCTAAAGGTTGGTTGTAGTATGATACATTTCCTGATGTCCTCCAATACTTATATCAAGTAATGTTTGGAAAATTTCGAAGACTTTGGCACCAAATGAATCCCTGCATTTATATAGGTTATAATGATGGTTCTTTTATGCTATGTTCACCAATTTGTGATGGCTTTATTTCATCTTGCAGCATAGCAATTAACACACTAACTAGAAATGAGTAGTTTAGTTACTATTTCCAAAACTTCTGTGCCATCATATTTGCTATTCATTTAGCAGTGAAATTTTCACTATCTTTATGGTTTATTATCATGTCTCGTACAACAGCATTTTATCTCAGTTGTAAGCACTTAATAAATTAAAAAGCTCTCACCTGTTGACAAAAAAAAGTTTATCTAAATTCCAACGCTGTCAGCATATTCTTAACATTGATGTTATTCAACATGCAGCCATATTTTAGGGCTCTTTAAAACGTTCACGAGTCATTTCTGTAATGTGTGATCTATCTTGGAGTTAAGTTCTCTATTTTACACAAAACAAATATTGCAACTGTCAGAAGAACAATTTTTATGCAGGAATAGTTTTCAGCAAATGTTTGTATTTGGCTGGTATATACTATAACAACTACAACATCATCTTGCACTTGGCCCAGCATTGCTCTTCATCGGCATCAGTATCCAGCATGAATGGGGCCTTTCATGTCAGATAAGCCATATTTTCTCTGCTTCCGTTTAAGATCTGCTAGTCGTAAACATTGAAATTCCATGCTTAAGTTTTCAATTACAGCCTGAAAGATGTGACCAAACATAAAAATAAGAATGATGCATATAATGTAGTATTCCTATTGCCAACCACATAGTGCAAGTTCTATCAGCCACTTAAAAGTAATTGACACATTACTAAGGACAAATAGTAAGATAAAAAAATTCATAAAAGTCATCAAGTGCTAAAAGAAGTTTTAGCTCTGCTTTTATCATCTAATGAGCTAAACTGACGAGAAACTTTCAAATCATTTCACTATTTATCTGTGTGCATGCTGCTTCGTTCGCCCACTTGAAATCCACACAGAGCCTCGGCATGCCTTTTATCTCTTTTAACACTAACAACAACTAGGCACTTTCTGAAGGTTGAATGATTCTATCCTTTGTAAACGAACTTATCTTAGTACTGACTAAATCCTTGGTTGTCCCAAAAAGCTTGTGGTGGAAATTTTACAGCATAGGTATCTATGTGTCACTGAAAGATTTTGTTCTCTCCAGCTAACAATCTGTTACCCCAAATACATCAACAAGTTTTATCTCTAGCCTTATTACTGTCTTTGATTCTGGTTTACACTCAGATTCCCTGTAGAATATTCAGTTATACCCCAACATCAGATGTACTGGCCAGTCACCATGTATTTCATGTTAACATAGTACAACCTAAGTAGCATTAGCCATATTACTAGTTTCAGTTTTTTCTCATTCTTGCATCATAGCACCAACCATTATGGCTGGTAGTATCGTGGTTTTCGCAGAAGTAACTGATTTCCACACTAGTATTAGATAAATCTACTTTTTAATGGAGGTTTCATGCAGGATAATCACAGAATAATCCGAGTTTAGGTAAATAACTGAGTTATAAGATATGCAAATATACACGAAACACAATCTTCATTTACAAGCAAAGCAAAAATAAGAGAAAGAAAAACAGTGTGTATCTGCATAGACACTGGACTGTCGCATTATACCAGACATATAAATTACTCAACTGCTTTCTTCTCAAAAGGAGTTTTTCTCTTGGCCTATTTACTTTAAACACCAAGCAGAATTGATGTAAATCCAATGCTCCATACAAGTAGCAAATGTTGAATTTACCCACAATGACAAGCACTACCCACGTGACTGGTTTCTCATACAAAACGGTAAAGACTTTAACCTCTATATATAATCTATTTTTCCAGTGAAAAACATTGTTATCGTTGATCTGTACGAAATTGCAGCAAAATCTTCGCAGGTGAAGTAAGTACTATATGCTAGAGAACAACAAACGAATAAACATAACTAGAATGATTACCATAGTTACGAAACATAACCATTGCTCTTGAAGAGATAACAATGTACATAGGCGTACGGGCCAGGTGGGGGTAACTGCCCCCCCCCCACAAAATTCCGAGTAAATTGTTTCCTCGGATTCCGACAAAGTAAGAAAACAGTAATGTTGCGTCAGCGAGTCACGTGTCTACCGTGACGCAACGTTTCTAGAACTATCATGTACTTTGGCGAATGCTCTAGTTCTTACTGGATAGAGGGTAGGCTGGTATATAAAAGAGGAGAATGTAATGTGTGGGTAGACAGTGAGTAATTGAACTGCAGTCACACGGTATTGTTGAAGTTAACGTTCGTTCGTTACAGTGTTGTTTTAGCGCGAGTATTGGGATTAAGTGTATCGCAGAGTTATATTCGGAAAGAATAAACCAGGTTTATTAAGTAAAGACTTGTGTCGTTAAAGTTTCGTTGGAACGAAGTTACGGAAAAATCAATTAACAAACGGAGACGTAACAGTAATTTCATTTTCAGAGGTCAAAAATCCTGCATACTTTCATAACAGCGTAAGTGGGAAAATTAAGCTCAATAATACAACTGGTGGAAATATTTGACTTTGAACTTTCAAAACTATTAAGTCTTATATTTTGCACAGATATTATGCTTTAAGCCTGTCATTATCATTATATAATTAATTAGTTAACGAAATTGGTCTAGTGATATTTAGTAATACACATATTGACGATTAGTATGCATATTGCCTACGTGTCCCAAAGAATATCACTCTGCATGCATTCAATATCAGGATACTAACAACCGCGCTTTCTAATTTAAGATCCTTGAGAGTCACGGTTTCACAAAAATGTCGTCGTCGTCTGATCCTAAAAAGTCGCGTAAACGACTCTATCGCCTGCATGCGAAGAGTACGAGAAGGAAATTGACACAAACTATAAAGACAATCATGTGAAAAAAAAATCACAAAGGCAAAAGAATCAAATTCAGCGCAGTAGTCGACACAAATCAATCACAACTGAATGGCTTCTTCAATGGGAGCGTGAAGTATAGAAATCTGGAACCAGCCGAATCCTTGTGCACAAAATAGTTCATCAGAAGGAATGGTTCAATTCAGAAGAAGAGGTCTATCCAGAAACAGAATTAGAGGAGACTGCTGATGATGAGTGCAGGGTGAGTGATTCAGACTTTGTTATGGAAAATACTACCCTGGAAGCAGAGCTGGCCGTGTCTGAGACTGACATCGACTCTGCTGTCACATCAGTCTCAACCATAGGTTATACTGTTTCTGTTATTTCTCATGTGGCGGGTGACATTATAAATGATTCTTTTATTGTAACGTCTGACGTTGATTCGAGTTCTGATGATGATTACGAAAGTTATGAACCTCTCTCAGCTGCAACACAGGAGTCAACAAAAGACTCTGTCCCCAACCAGTCGTCGACCACCCCTCGAATATACCGAAGCAACCAAAGGAGTATAATCCTGGATTAGCTTTGACGTGGGAAAATGTCAGTGTGTGTACTTTCCCTGTAAGAAGTTCATGGGGGATAGCTCATTCACGTTCAAAAATTAGAAAAACAGTCACAAACTTAAAAAGTATTCGAGAAGCGTTAATCACAAGAAGGCGATGGCGAAGTGGATCAGTTTATAGATCAATGCAAAACGCTAGACTTCTGTGTTGCATCAGTTGGATGCGGTTCATAAACAGTAGGTCCTCTGCAATTGCAAGAATTTATGCATAATCATCGAGTGTTTGTTCTTTACTGTTCAACAAAACATTGCAGTAAGAGAATATGAGGATGACGGAACAAATTTCAAAGAAATATCCAATGCCAATAGAGGCAATTTCCTGAAATTATTGCATTTCTGGTGCAAGGATCTAACGTAACTCAAAGAGAAATTACAAAATCAACTTGAGGTACATGCTTAAGGGATATCGCCCTCCACTTAGAACAAGATACTAGAGACTGCATCCAATCACGTTGTGCAGCAGATCATCTACAATGTGCTGATGAGTAGAGTGTTCGGAATAATCATGGATGAAACCTCGAATTTTAGCCAAACAGAGCAAGTGGCACTCTGCCCGAGATACATTTTGGAGGGTAAAGTGAAAGAGGCATTCCTTGGATTATTTACGACAGCATCAACTGAGGATGAAGTATTATATGAACTCGTGAAAAGGGTTATCAGTGGACTTGGACTGAAGTTGGAGGACATTGTTGGTGAGTGTTTCGATGGTGTGTCTAATATGACACACGATTCATGAGGCATTTAATATTAGTGGTGTTCGTAAAGGAGTAGCGAGGAACATATGTGCACTGTTATAGTCATCTTCTCAGTATTGCACAGCAGGATACTATGAGTGAGATAGCCACTTAGAAATGTGCTTGGGATAGTCCAAAACCTTTGTGATTTCTTGGAAGCGAGTCTAAAACACCACACCCTGTTTTAGGATATTGAGTTATATGACGATTACATCGTTCTTACACTAAAATCCTTGAGTGTAACGAGATGGTCTTGCCAATGAGAGGCAGTGAAAGACGTCATTGAGCAGATGTAAAAAATTATTAAAGCTCTTCTCATCTTAGCGGGTGATAACGACTCTAAGACGTATGCTAACAGCACTGCACTTCTGAATGCTGTTTGTAATTTTGAATTCGAATTCGTGTTCGGATTACTACTTCTGAAAGTGATATTGTTAAATATCAGTTTTCTTAATAAATATCTATAAGGAAAGAGCACGTACGTTATCACCACCAGGAGAAATGCGGACTTCACCATCAGGACCCTCATCGACAGTCGGGACAGAATAACTTTGAGAGATTGTGAACTATAGGACAGATCTTCGCTGATAAAATAAAAGAAGGAATTGAAAGGAGTAGATTCACATTCAATGAGGCGAGAACACCAAGAAGTAAACCATAAAGCTGCTTGCAAGTGTTCATTGGCGAATCAACTGATACTGTGCGTGTACAAACCCTGAAAAAACACCACCATACGAATACATACTATTGAAGCCTCGACAAACTCCTTTGTAAAATGAAATCTCACTTCGAAAGTTACGACTAAGACATATTTTGCATCTTTGGGACACCTTGCTGAACAACTCATCTTCGGATGGTATTAGGTTTTTATGGTGTGACAAAGAAGACCATGGCAGGTGTCGTCGAAAATATGGTTCAGGATGGACAAAATTAATTACTACTTATGTTATACGAGACAGCGACCATCCTCGCATCAATTCCGGCCACTTCATGTTCTGCAGAAAGGTCACTCAGTGGAATGCGACGCAAGAAGACCTATCTCTGTATAACAATGGGACAACATCGTTTGAACAGCATTGCTATTATAAACATTGAATGAGCTTACGCTAATAGGACTATTGAAAATTACATGTACAAAATCATTGGCTCCTTCGGTAGGAGAAAGGAGCTATACGCTTATTTTTCTAAGCCACTGATATTGAGTTTAATAGCTGTATTTAGTAACCCATGTGTATTGTTTCATTTCCATCATTTTCGCATATTTAGGATTTACATGGTGTTTGTTGCATATTACACTATGTATAAATATATTGATTAGTTTTATTATCCACATTCGGTTATTTTCTGTTGTAACTTAAAATTCGGGCAAATGTTTCCATGTCCCCAAGAGGATTTGGGCTCGTACGCCTATGACAAAGTAAGTATAGTCCTTTTTCTTTTTTGACACAAAAATAGTGCATCTCAGGCATCACCTCTACAACAGAATGAGCTGAAGGTGAAACCAGTGACTGCATTTGAAGAATATCTTGAAACACTAGTTTCAATGTCTTTGTCTGTGTGCACTTGTTTAGTCCACTGTTCCTGTACCTCGGCCAGTATTTTGCAGTTTCGCCACAGAGCCGCAGTTCACCTTGTACACAACGATGCACGTTACACCATTCACCCATCTGAGTCTTATCATGCCTCTTTGCTTTATCATTATTACTGTTGTAGCCAACCAGTCACGCTCTGAAGGTTATTTGATTGATTTAATCCTTATCCTTGGTATACCAAGGAAACTTGTGTGGTTGCTGTTTTATATGACACATTATGTGAGACGTCAAGTTATCTATTATTTGTGATAAAAAATGCCTAAGGAAATAAAGAGAAACGATATATCCCAATTTTTATTCCTTGCAAGCTTTAGACAGATCGATCTATGAAAACTATATTATTGTACTTATTGAGATAATAATAATAATAATACCAAACTGCTAATTTTGTTCTGTAATTTGTACGAAAAAGTATTAGCTGGGACACCAAATTTTACCTTCTCTATATATAACATATTGAGGCAATCTTCTCTTCATAGACCCGTTAGGCAAGGAACGAAGTTAGTGTATATTTTTAAAACACATCTGTGGTAGGTTAAGAAGCCTGCATAGTTTATATGGAAGTTATCAATATATAATTTTAGCTTTACTCGCCCAAAATAATTTAGGATGAATGTCGTATCTGTAATAAAACTCTACATCAGTAAAATGATTGAAGAAAGTGGGCCTGGAATGAAAGTTCTTCTGATGGACAAAGAAACGGTATGTCACTGTCAGATGACCGCAGTGACGTTCAACTTCAAAGTTCAGACATAAGTTAATCATGATATAGTAAAGTACTATTACAAGTATTAGTATAGTAATTAATGTAATAATACTACACAAAAATATAGCTTTTACTTTATAATTAGTACTACTATTACTACTACTAGCACAGAAGTAGCACTAAATCATAGTACATGAGTAGTATAGTAGTAATTAGTACTGTAATTTTTAAATATATATTAAAATTTTAATTTTTGCTGTAATAATAATTAAAATATCTAAAGTTAATAATAGTGCTAATAATAATAATAGTCTTTCTCCAAATACAGTAAGTAATCCGATCTTGTGTATTCGTACATCACCACACTGTAATACTTTTGGTATTTATAGTTAAGCAAACTTGTGTCTACTACTAGTATTAGTGTGGCCCGGCATGGCCAGGTGGATAAGGTGCTCGACTCACAATCTGAGGGTCATGGGTTCGAATCCGCATCCCACCAAACATGCTCGTCCTTTCAGCCGTGGGTGCGTTGTAATGTGACGGTCAATCCCACTATTCGTTGGTAAAAGAGTAGCCCAAGAGTTGGCGGTGGGTGGTGATGACTAGCTGCCTTCCCTCTAGTCTTACACTGCTAAATTAGGGATGGCTAGCGCAGATAGCCCTCGTGTAGCTTTGCGAGAAATTCCAAAACAAACAAACAAAACTAGTATTAGTAGTAGTACTAAAAGTTCAAGAACAGTCTTACTTATGCTTTACTGTTCATAGTAGACTAGTGTAAATCATAATATTCCTGGCAGATTCATGAAACCACTTACAATATAAGCAATGGCTAGATACCTGGCAGCCAAGAATAATCTTTCAAATCCTAAACACTCAGCTGTCTAATTTGAATATTGATGAGATAAGATCACCTATCACTTGATTTAGAGAATGAGTAATAGTAAACTATGAGACTGATGTGTCTTCAAATTCAATGAAATAATCTGAATAAAACTTTTGCACTAGAAGAATAAATATTGATCATCATTCTTGTTTAGTGTCAATCAGCATGTGTATTTGCTACAAGCTACTGGGAATGATCCTCGAAATATTAGATACCCAGTAGTACATAATTTCACGATTATGAATATTGACAAACTTCCAATATGCTATATTATTTAATATGTATAATTTGTGATAATAAAATTATTGTGGAATTGTCATTATTATTATTAATTAGCATCATCATCATCACTTTTTGTTGTTGTTGTAACTCATCACTTTAAAATTTAGTATTTAAAAGATTGTTCCTAACTGCCAGTTATCTAATCACTGCATAAAGTTTACCCATTCATTTCAAGTTTAGAAGATACCAAAAGATTTTCAATGAACTATGTCTGTATCAGATCTTTTGTATTTCCTTGAAGTCTACACTATGTAATATCTTCATGCTATAATAGTAATGTTTAGACCTGTGTTATTTTATTGTGAAATAAAGTTATTTCAAACTGATATTTAAGTGTAAAAATGTGCTAGAATGATTTGTGTAATTTTATAAGTATAAAGATATGATACAAGCATCATTTATTGAAAGTATGTGGGTATTTTGTGAAATATCATGAGAAAAGCTCAGTTAAGTTTCAGTTTCAGAGTAAAAGTTTTAACGTGCTATTTCAAAATCTGCATTCCCTTTGAAGCAACCATACAGTAAAAATAACTTGTAGAATTTAAATATAAGTATAATTTGACTCCTTTAGGTTTGTTTCTTAATTTTCAGATCATTTCCTGGTGATATTGGTGTTTTTTCAATATTTTTTATATTTCGAATTGATTTCAAGTAGGTATAAGCCTTTGGCTGAAGTATTTAGGGAAATATGTAATTCTAAGTGTTTTATAGTTGGGAATACACGAGTTATTATAAAATGTTTGTTATATACAGTAGTATATTGGATAATAAACACTAGAATTTGCTTTTTAGGTACAAAGGTGCAAAATCTAGTTGAAAGAATTGGTATTTAGTTGTCTGATTTAAATATGGTTTTGTGGTAGGTTTGCCACGTCAAATACAAAAAAAGATAATCATCTCCCAAGTTTACATAAAACTTGTTAATATATCATTGTTACTTAGTAGAAAGAACATTTCAAGAACTTTATTTAACTATATTCCCCCTTTTTATTTTTTGAATTTTTAATAGGTGAAACAAAGGTTTAGTGGAAATTTATAGTTTCTGACTTTACCATATTAAAAAAAAAAAAGGCAAAATGAATAAAATTTTTATCATATGATGACATTGTTATTGTTGGTATTATTACTGTTCTTCAGCACTGCTATTATTTTAAATACTAGGGTTTAAATTACAAAGCTCTAGCACTTGTAAACCAAAGATCTCTCTCTATCTATAAGTAATTGTCTTCTTTATTAATGTATGTCAAAGGTAGTTTTTCATGTTTTAATATTTTACAGTTGTTGCCATAACAGGATAGCATAACTGTTGTGTTAGTGTTGAAGGCAGTAGCACAAACTGATTTATAATAGACAAGGGTTTGTATAATGAATATTGTTTTAGCCATGTTTACAAACAGGTATTATCATTATTACTGACATTTTTTTTGAAAATGTTTAAATATAACTACAACTTTTTTTAAAAATTATTATTTTTATTTATAATGATATATGTTAATATTACACTAGCCTTAATATTTGCCAGTGATCCAGTACACTGTTTCTTTGTGTGCAGTGTATCTGTTTAAATGCCAATATGTTTCAAAATTACTTACATTACCCCATTGTTAACCGTACATGCACGTACGATCCTAACGAAACTAAGGAACTTAAACCACAAAATCATCAATACAAAAAATATTTCTTTTATCCAACAGTGCCGAAACAAAAAATTTATCCCTAATTTTGTCAAAGTAAAAGTACCCAAGAATCTTAATCACTGTTCAAACATTATCCATAACCTATAGAAAAAACTGCTAAAGGCTATGTTAAACTCAAAATACAAAGAATTAAATGACTTGCACAAACAAAAAAATGAATCTAGACCATCAACTGGCCTGCCGCATTTAACCGGAAATTTATGGACTCCTACAACGTAACATCATCCTAATCAACAGCAAGGAAGACAAAGAAAAAAAGACCCGCCATAACAAAAAAACTAGATCAACTAAGGTGCCAACAACAGAAAAGATGAACACGATGAACCATCAACCAGTCTTGTAATTAACAGATCCAACCGACAATTAAGCGCTGAAGAGGTACATCTGTTGAACAAAGGACTTAACTTTACAGTAACATCAAGAAATATTCTTTCTTTGAAATAAAAGCATGCCTTGAAGACCTAGCCAAAAGACTAGTGATCCATTATACACAGACCAAAAACAGCCACTGGAAAGAAGACAACATCCACACCAATTCCATTGATAACGAACAACTTGTCTTTCCAGGTAAAACCGAAAACATCTATTTCCCCGAAACACCTTAAAACAGTATTTTAAACAATTTTTTCAAAGAATTCTCACACAAAACCACCAACATAATTTCACAGAAAAGAAAGCTAAAAAACAACCTAAAACAAGACAACAACATCAAAATTCTAAAAGCAGATAAAGGCAGTGCCATTGTAATAATGAACACAAGTGAGTACATTCATAAAATGAATTACATCCTATCAGATACAACCAAATTTAAGCCAATCCTCACAAATCCAACAAAAACACATGAAAACCAACTAAACAAAATGCTACAACAGTTGAAAAAAAACCAGCACAATCTCAGAAAACCTTTATTCTTACCTACGCAAGACTGACTCCCGCACACCACAGCTGTATGGCACCCCCAAGCCTCAGAAACCCAATTGTCCACTACGACCCAAAATGTCGACATATGAATCGTATAACTACAACCTTGGTAAATACACAGCGTGGCCATTTTCTACATATGTAACATTAGCAGGATCCTTTTTTAAGGACTCTTTTAACTTTAAATATATTCTGGATCAACTAAACCATAAAGCCTTAATGGCCAGTTTTGATGCAATCTCCCTTTTCATTGAAGTCCCAACTACTGAAGTCTGCAAGATAGCTTTAGAACTTTATATCCAAGACCCCAACCCATTAATACACATTCACAGCAACCAACTAGTAACTCTTATAGAATTCACTACCACCAAAACCAACTTCATGTTCAACAACCAAAATTACATACAAATAAATGGCTTAAGTATGGGCAATCCTATGTCACCAATTCTAACCAACATTTTCATGAAACAGACTGAATCTCAAGCAATCAATATAGCCTTACACCCACCACTATATTGGTATAGATATGTTGACGATACCCTTGCTGGATTTACATCTACAGAACACACGCATAGTTTTTCAAACACACTAACTCCATACACACCAACATTGCGTTCACCTGTGAATACAAAAAAAGCTAAACAAATAACATTTCTCAACCTCAAGATCACAAGAACCGATACACAATCAAAAACAGAAATCCACAGAAATCCCATACTGGACTATACATTCCCTTGAAATCAGCACATGAAACAAAACAAAAATCAATATATATTAAAAAACCAAATAAACACAGCCACAAACTATGCTCACCAGATAAAATTAATGAAGAGATCAAACAATTAAAACAACACTTCATCAACGTCAATAAATTTCCTTCAAAAACCCTCGAAAAAATCATACTCGCACATCTAGGCCAACAACACAAACAATAATAAATTCAGTGAAACAACTAACTATAAAACCCTGCACTGTTGCATACTGTGTATTCCCAATACAATAATCAACATTTGGAAAAAAAACTTGCAACAAAACATAACATTCCAATAAACACTAAATGTATTCAAAAACTGGGCACAAACTATAATCTATACTACATAAAAACTACACTGAACAAACATAACACCAACATTATTTATAAAATACAATACAACAACTGCCACAATTTCTATATTGGAGAAGCGAGCCAAAAAATGGAAACCAGATTCAATGAACTCATAAAAACAACTTCCTATGTTTTTGAACACTGCAAAGCAAATAAACACAACATACCTATAGAAAATACCAACATATTAAGAAGAGAAACAAATACAAACAAACAAAAAATCAAAG